CCTCTAGAGCTCCCATATACTCCCCAGGAGACCACCACTCCTCTGGAACGTCCATATACCCCCACGGAGACTTCTGTTCCTCTAGAAAATCCATACATACCTCCGGAGAACTCAGCTACTCTAAAACCACCATACATACCCGAGGAGATCCCTCCATCTCTTGAGGCGCCCTATAATTCTCCAGAGACTTCTCCTACTCTGGAACTTCCATACACACCTCCAGAAACTCCTGCTACCCTAGAAACTCCATACACACCTCCAGAAACTCCTGCTCCTCTAGAACCTCCATACACACCTCCAGAAGCTCATGCTTCTCTAAAACCTCCATATGTACCCCCAGAAACTCCTGCTAATCTGGAACCTCTGTACATTCCTCCAGAAACTCCTACTCCGCTAGAAACTCCATGCATACCTCTAGGAGGTCCAGAAGCACCTCCTCTAGAAGCTCCAAACACATATTCAGGAAACCCTTCTCCTTTAAACCCTCCATGTGTACCTCCTGGAAGTCCTGCTCCTCTAGAATCTCCAGGCTCGTCTTCAGAGTCATCTCCTCCCTTAGAGCCCCCATACATCCTCCTGGAAAACCCACTCCCACCAGAACAGCCATATCCACCTCCAGAAAACCCTGTTCCTTTAGAACCTCTTCCAGTCCAGGCTCAAGAACGTAACCCTGCAGACCGCTACCTCTCTGGACCTGGCCTATATTTTTCATGATCCTCCTGTTACTCCTTCAGCGACCCGCAATATGGAGCCTCCATGTGTGTCTCCAAGATGCAGAGTCTCAAAGACTTCTCCATCCATTGAGTCGCCAGATACTCCACCAGAGTCTCTACACCTGACTCAGGTGCACCTGATTCTCTGGAAGAAAGACAACCCTTAGAAACCTTGCTCGATTGACTCCCCGCCCCCTCTAATCCAACCTACCCTTCACCCAGTGCTTGAGAGACAACTGCTCCCCTCATGCGCCAGAGGAACATTGTCAAAATGAGGCTCCAGATGTTCCTCTCTGGTCCAGACCTCTCCAGAGGCAGCTGTCACTCTTGAGTGGCCACACTGTCTTCCCAGAACCTTTTTTTTTTTTTTACTTTTAGAGTAACCATGTACGGTGTTTGCTTTTACATCCCTTAACAGCTCTTCTGTTCTTCCAGAATTCTTAAAACATCGCCAGGAAACAACCATGACAGATAGCATGAAAGTTAGTTATGTTTTGGAACGCATAGGTCTTATTTACTTGTTTTAATTTACTTCATTGATTATTCATTTATTAATTAAACTGCTCTATCCTCCTCCAATGTCAACTGGCATCCTTCCTGAGTCAGCCGCCTTCCTGTAACATCTACGCAGAGTCGTCCACTCTGGAGGTCCCACCTGAATGACATACCTGGGAATTGATCCAGGTGGTCCTCCACTTACGGCCACAGTGGAGCCTGAAATTTCTGTGGCTAAGCGAGACATTTGTTAAGTGAGGTTTGTCCCATTTGTATGACCTTTCTCACCATAGTTGTTCAGTGAATCACTGCAATTGTTAAGTTTCTCCTCCACGGGCCAGCCAAGTGGGGGTAGGGGGAGATGGGATGAACACCCCCTGCATCACCCTGTGCATCCTCCCCCCGCACCCCATTTTGGCCAGCAGAGTGCTGCAAGAGGTGGTCCAGTCAATACTCTTTTCACGGAAGGAAAATAGAGAAATCAAATGAATAAGGGGGCACGCGCAAGGCAGAGTGCTGCAGGACGCCATCCAGGCCAACAACAGGACATTAGCGGGGGAGGCTCATGCAGCCCCCACATCCCATTTTGGTTGCCAGGGGCACCACAGGCCAGTCTTTTGCTACTTCCAGGCCAGTGTTTCAATCTGGCCTGCGGGATCGGCCTGGAAATAGCAAAGGACTGGCCCGCAGTGCCCCTGGCAACCTGCAGTAGCTCCGAGGATCATGTGAGTGAATCAGTTCGCTCCGACGATCAGCTGCTGGGCCACTGACCTTTATTTCCTGATTTTGAAGCTCAGCTGCTTCGTGTGGCGCAACAGATATTGCCGCGCATCAGCTGTTGAACACATAAGGAGAATGCAGGATTGCAGGAGGTCAGTAGGAAAACCTGTGCACGCAGGCATGCACAAAATGCGCCCAAGCTATGCCCACAGAACCAGTGGTAAAAAAATTTGAAACCCACCACTGATCCACATGACTCTGGGACACTGCAACCGTTGTAAATACATGCCAGTTGCCGAATGCTGGAATTTTGACTACAGGATTATGGGACCCGTGCAATGGCCATAACTGCAAGGACCTGTGGTAAGTCATTCTATTTGAATGGTCACGAACTGAATCATTGTAAGTCAAGGACCATGGTCTGAAACTTTTGAGTCTGTTATCTGAACTTTAAACTGTCTGTTGTGGTACTGCAAACCAAAAAGGATAGATACAGACTTCAACGGATAGTTAGGACCGCAGAAAAAAGCTATTGCAGCCAGCCTGCCTTTTATGGAGGACCCTGTATACTACAGGAGTGAGAAAGAGGGCTTGGAAAAATATGTACAGACCCCTCGCATCCTGGATATAAATGGTTCCAACTCCTCCCCTTGGGATGGTGTGATATAGGGCCATGATGGTGAACCTATCACCATTACAGACAGAAATGGCACGCAGAGCCATCTCTGCCGGCACACAAGCCATTGCCCCAGCTCAGTTCCACTACACCTCCACGTGCACCGCCTGCCAGACAGCTGATTGTCAGATATCTTTCATGCATGGGGGGGAGGGGACAGGGCACATGCGGGAGACATGCGTGCATGCGCAGGGGGATGAGGTGAGCATGGGGGGGGGTCGCTTACATTTGCACAGGAGGTGGGGGGAGCACAGGGAGGTTGTGTGTGCATGCACAGCAGGCGGGGGGATGAAGGAACATGGTGGGTTGCACACACATGCCCAGACAAATTCCTTGTGTGTCTATTCACATTTGGCCAAAATAAGTGCCCTGTCCTATCTTATATTCTACTATACTATACTATACTATACTATACTATACTATACTATACTATA